TTCGTTGCCTTACTGCTACACCACTATTAACCAGTTACTAATTTCCCACCCGAATTAATTAAAGTAATCAAAGTGCCACCAACCAGGATAAATCAGAACTAAGCACTGATGACATGCCTCAACTTCTCATATCCCCTGTTCGCCGAACCCACGCTCAGCCAGTCGCGCACAGTGTCAACACACACACAGACAGACACACAAACACATGCTGTCCCGTTTTGTCGGGCGCGCGCCTATAAGGGCCATCGCATCCAGCGAGGACATATAAGGCGGGGTCGTATGCGGCCGGGCCGCCCGGCGCGGCTCAGAGGCCGCCCGGCTGCTCGGCACGGCGAGAGTAGCGCCGCCGCCTCCGACCGCGCCAGTCGGCCGCGCGCCGAGACCGTGCACCCGCCCGTGCACGCCTGTGCACGCGCCACTGTGACTCATGCCGGCACGCGCGCCGCACAGGCGCGGAATGCGTGTTTGTGAGCGCGTGGAACGGATCCATACCGGGAGGACTGTGGGGGAGGGGAAGAGAGGGGCGGGGAACTGTGTACCCCGTCTGTGGGCGGCTGTGGAGGGCTTGGTGCCGGCCGGTGCGAAGCTGACGGAAGTGGCGGCGCAGTGACTGCTCTGATTGGTCCGGGCGTCCGGGGTGTTGTTGCAGGCGCAGGCTCACGCGTGGGCTGTGAAGGTGAATGATGTCTGCCGCTGAGGAGTAGAGGAGGAGAGAGATGCTGAGCACGCTGATTTGGGAGCTACTTGATGTGTAAGAACAAAGCTCACGAACTTGGTTCTTACACGTACGTGCTCAAAATTCGGCTTGGGATTGTGCATGACTGGACGCAAGTAGACGTGCAACATCTCTGTCATCCGACACTTTGTTTTAAGTGGTCATTCATTGAAAATATTTCGTATGATTTTATGACGCTGTCAATGGTGACAGCATGTTCGAAGATATTCCTTGACAACCTCCCACGCATAGCACGAAATGCAGTTGTCAATGTCCGTCAAGCTGGGGCATGTAGCGCTTGATTCGTACTTTCAAAAGCATGTGCTTGTGCTTGCAACGACTTAGTTGGTGTGAGATTCTAGAGTAAGGCCATTTGGAGGTGTGTGTCACATTGTGTCAGCGCGTCCCATCAGTCGCGGAAAGTGCCGGTCCGGAATGTCGACCGGGGTCCCGCCCTGACAAAACTAGTTTCCAGAGGCGTCCTTATATGCGGTGACATAATACTAATCATAACAAACATTTCTAAACTTTACCGTGTGTAATATCAGCTGGCGGTGGGGTGGGGGGGGGGGGGGGGGCATGTGCCGCCCTTTGCACATCCCAGGTCAGGTCCCGAGGGACCTGGGGGCGGCCCGGGACTGGCGAGCAGGGGTCTCATTGGAGGGCCCAAAGGGCCGCTTGGAAGTCGTGTTAAAGGATCCCGGCCCGCTGGGCAGGGTCGCCAACTCATCAGCCAGAGGGCCTCTTGCGCCGACCGAGGGCGCCCTGGCAAGATAGGGGCCTCTATGCCGGTCTGATACCACCAATACTGAACACTCTACTTCGTGTCAGTCTGAGCCCTGGGGACTTTTTCCTAAGCAGTGACAGGGCCGAGGCCCACAAATGTCAATGAAGGTTTCTTGAAATATATGTTTTTTACTTAAAAAATACGAAAGATAACAACCAAAGGCCCCAAAGTAAAATAGTGGAAAGGCCCTGTGTTAGTCAGGAGCCTTTAAGAGAAGAACCTCGGCCTGTTTTAGCCAGTTACCCGATAACTTGAACTGAAGTCCTTGCGCCAATTATTGGAGCCTCCACACCGGTAACGAAGCGTTTCCGTCAGTGAAGTCCCTGTGTTGAACTGGAGGCCACTGACCTGGCATTCTGGCATTCGGATCGAACAGGGGGTCAGGGCCAGCGTGTCGGGTCAGTAGAATAGTACCCGCTAGATACATCAGACTGAAACGGGAAGGTCCTTCAGCCCCACACCGGGGAATGTTATGTGCCTCCTAGTGCTCTTCCCGTGGGGCGCCTGCTCGATAAGGTTCACGGTCTAATGAGTGTTTAATAGCGTGGGTCGAAACCTGATCAATAAGTTGCCTTGCCATGGCCAACACATGTGTGTCTCTTGGACGCCAAGTCCATCCTTTTACACCATCGTTTCGGGAAAATAGTATGTAAACAGTTTTGGGCATGCGCGCTCGTAATCTGAGCCTATCGGAACCTCGGCGATCAAAAACTTACCGAAGCCCGGCGTTGCGGTTCGCATCGGACCTAACGGTGTTAGTTGCTGCAGCTAACGCGAGGTGTCGGACGGAGGCGGTGCGAGAATGACCATATGAAGGCAAGCGATGCTCCGAACGCCTTTGAAATAAATTTGCACCGCTCAATAGTTAAACCAGCAAAACTTCATCTTCTATTGCCGTGTGGCTTCCGTTTCAGTTTGATCAGGCGACAGATAAAGGTAAAGTGGCGAAGTTTGGGCTCTATCGAAAAGTGGACGAAATCCAGGGGATTATTGGCGGATGGCTCTCATCCGCTGAATACCATATGTGCGATGTGGAGGCTGATCATCCGAACAGCTTAGCACCTACAGCTGCAAGAACAACAGAGACTCCACCATCGCGTCAAGAACTTGTGGTGCTGCAAATGACAATGCGCTCAGAGCATCAGGTTTTAATTGTGTGGGTGACACCCTCAACCCGGACTACCTTCCACGCCTTGGAATCGATTTCTTAAAGCACACGAGAGTACCTTTTGTCCGATGCGTGGTCATTTTCGCCAGTTCATTCGAAGACACCTGGTGTTGGTGGCAGGGCCAGCGTCTCGCCGCCTGTGGAGCCTCTAACGCCAGACATGGATATGACATGCACGCACGGGGTGGTTGCTTTTGCTTTGATTTGGATCAAAGCCCTTTCGGCGAGGAATGACCGCTTCAGGGCCATGGGATGGAAGGAGAAGGGATAATGGCGTGACAAACCGCACACAGCTGGGTCTATCCGGCCAAACTTTGCTTGCACACGGACCCCCATACGGGATGTGTTGGGATATTTAAGGGGATATTTAAGCATATCTTGAGGTATTTAAGTACGATATTTATCCCACCAGGGAATATTTAAGCCCTCGCATGGCTGGTGTGCGTGGCTTTCCCCGGATAGATGAGGCGTCGTGGTGACCAGGATAAAGCTAGAAAGAGGAAAGATGGGGCACTGCTCTTGCCTGTGAGCACGCGTATGGTCAAAACAATGTTATGCCTTTTCACCTACCTTGTTTGAAGGAGAGAACACGTCCCTTTGCTAACCTGCTGTGTGGTCATTTAAAGTCTGATTCCGGAATTGTATTGCCTTAACTGCAAAATAGAGGCCAGATTGGATCTTCTAGTGGCCTGTGGTTTCTGTTCAAGATAAAGAGACACCAAATAAGCACGGTACGGAGACAGTTGGGTCACTTAAGATTAAGTGGGCGAGATCCGGCTGATTGTCTTATGGAGGGGGGGGGGGGGCGCTTCTCACCAGCAGCGGGGTACTTGTCAGCCTTGTGCCTCTGCTTACCAAGATTCTGGCTGCTTCCCGGGTCGGCCGGTATATTTGAGGTTCTGCCGCTGAACCCAGCGTGAAGGAATGACGGGAGAATTACAATGGCGATGTTTTGCATTCACATTCGAGTAAAATTCGAATAAAAGAAGCACGTACGCGCAAGTTTCAACGCTCGCCAGCGATGTGCTTGAGCGGCATTCTGCTGCGCGTCTGCCCGCGCCTGGATGACGGTAGCGTTTCGGAACAGTCCGGCAGCGATCCGTCGCAGGCAGATATTTGCTCAGCCGGCTGGTGTGTACAGTTTTTGCCCGGTCGCCTCGGCGTCCTGGCCGGCCTCGCGGCGCATCCCGCGTGTCGACCAGCGCGTCACATTTGCGCCGGGCGTGGTCGTGACCCTGCGCCCCGCTGGTTACTGTCCGACGCCCGTCGGAACCGCCGGCGTCACCCAGGAGCAGTCAGTGACACCGCTGGGCACAGGCGTTAGGCGTTAGCGTCGCAAACTGCGTCACTTGAGTTGAGCTCGGGATGCCTCCCTGCTCACTCTCCACGGGCAGGCCTCTGGCGGGCAAAGCGGACGCCGGTGCGCTCGAATTCGATGGCGTGGTGTGGGCGTGGCCGGCCGGTGCTCGTCACCCGCCGGCTGACTGCCGGCGGCAGGCAGCTGCGGTCGGGGGCGACCGGGCGGTACTTCCCCGCACGGCCTGGGGCGTGGCCCGGCCGACCAGGCGCTGTGGCTCTGGGAGCACCGACCGCAGCCCGAGCCTCGCCGGCCGGCCGCACTGGCTCAGCCCGGACGGGGCGGACCTGACGCGACGGCCCGACCCGGCGCTCCCTAGCTGCCTGGGCCCGCACGGGCTCGGGCGGGACGGGGCGGACCTGACGCGACGGCCCGGCGCGGCGCTCCCCCGCTGCCTGGGGCCGCACGGGCTCGGCCGGGATGGGGCGAACCCGACGCGACGGCCCGGCGCGGCGCTCCCCCGCTGCCTGGGGTCGCACTGGTTCGGCCCGGACGGGGCGGACCCGACGCGACGGCCCGGCCCGGCGCTCCCCGGCCGCCTGGGGCCGCACTGGCCCGGTCGGGACGGGGCAGACCTGACGCCAGTGGCCCAGCCCAGCCCAGTGTTACTGTCCGGCCCGACAGAATGAGGAGCCTATGACGCAACCGCAGATATATAACGCATGTAGATAGTTCTAATGAGCTGAGGAGCAGCCTGGCTTGAAATTAGACGGGGCTTCGCTGCCGGCTCAAATGAAGTGCGCAGTGCAGACAGTGCGCAGTTCCTGACAGCGTTCTGTAGCTCGCCAGCTTTGGTCGTTGGTGCGGTTGTAAGGGGTGGCGGTATTTACAAGACGCATTACATGTCCGGCATAACGCATAGTATTTCAAACCTTTGACGGCTGAAATCCAGAGACGGATGCACGTTACCACTGTTGGACGCCTGGCATGGATTGTCACAGCAGGAGCTGACCGCGCCCTGTCTGTGCCGCAGGTGGAGCCGGTGCATCAGACGTTGACACTGGACCGCAGGTCACGGAGGCCGCGGCTGCGTACCGTCCGGACCGACGCCGACCTGAGAGGTCAGCCGATCCGCCGTGTCCGGTGCCCGACCTCGGGAGCCGTGACATTGGTGGCGCCGCGTGGCGCCCGAAGGCACTCTGGCACCCGCCACCGCGTCAGGGTATCTGGAGCGGCATCGGAGTGCTTGCCACCCCATCAGGATGTCTACTATGCGGTCACAGTGTCTGCCATCCTTCAGAGTGTGCGTCACCCCGCCAGAGTGTTTGCTACCCAGTTAGGGCGTCTGCCCCCCCCCCCCCTCCCGTCAGTGTCTGTCACCCCGTCGCAGTGTCTGCCATCCCGTCTAGTATGCCTGCTACCCCGTCAGTGTTTGCCATCCCGTCACAATGTCTGCCGTCCCGCCTGGTATGCCTGCCACCCCGTCAATGTTTGCCATCCCGTCGCAGCGTGTGTCATCTCGTTCGAGTGTCGGTCGCCCCGTCAGAGCCTCCGCCCCTCTGACCTCCCCGTGTCCCGCGGGGTCCGCCGACCCTTTGACCCCATCTCGCCGACGGACGGCACGCCCGGCGATCGTTAGCACCCCGTGACCCGGACTAAATCGGGAAAGTGCCCCCAACTGCCGCCGCGGCCCCTCCAGCCGGCGTCGGTGGGCGTGCCGGTATCGCGCCACCAGCCCGCCCCTCCCCTCTCCCGCGGGCTATTTCTAAACGCCAACAAGGCTTATTTCCCGTCAGATTTTGATAGCTTTAGATCGCGTTGCCGGACTAGTACAAGGTCCTGGATATAGACCGGGCACCGCTCTTCCGCTCTGCGCCTGCTAGGAGTGTGTCGAGAGCCTCACACTCCTGTCACTGTGGTTCGTTTGCTCGCTGAACATATAATGCTGTCAGGGACCGCTATCCTTGCGGTGAAGAGACAGCGCAGAGCACAGATGACAGGTGTATTGCAAACGATTCAACAGGTAGGCATGGCAATTTTGTAATCAGCGTAAGGAATCATTTGCTTGTGTCCTGTTTCGTGGGCTGCGCATTTGACCGCTCGTGGCCAGAGGGACCCTCGCCAGAGTCACAGCTCTGCCGTCTGGATGCGCTCCAGCGCTGCCATGTCGAGCGCTCCGTCACTGCTGACCGCTCGTGGACCCGTGTGACGGCTGCATCGGTGCTGACCGCTCGTGGACCTGCGTGACGGCTGCATCGGTGCTGACCGCTCGTGGACCCGTGTGACGGCTGCGTCGCTGCTGACCGCTCGTGGACCCGTGTGACGGCTGCGTCACTGCTGACCGTTCGTGGACCCGTGTGACGGCTGCGTCGGTGCTGACCGCTCGTGGACCCGTGTGACGGCTGCGTCGCTGCTGACCGCTCGTGGACCCGTGTAACGGCTGCGTCACTGCTGACCGCTCGTGGACCCGTGTAACGGCTGCGTCACTGCTGACCGCTCGTGGACCTGCGTGACGGCTGCGCAGCTGTTGACCACTCGTCGACCCTTGTGACGACTGCGTCAGTGCTGACCGCTCGTGGACCCGTGTGACGGCTGCGTCGCTGCTGACCGCTCGTGGACCTGTGTGACGGCTGCGCAGCTGTTGACCACTCGTCGACCCTTGTGACGACTGCGTCAGTGCTGACCGCTCGTGGCCCCACGTGACGGCTCTGTCTCTGTGCGTGTGTTGCAGCCCGGCTGTGCGGTAACGTGCGGACGCGGCTGACCAGCGGCGGCTTCTCGCTCCAGCCGCTGCCAGAGGAGAGACCTTCCTCGGCCGTGAGTTCCCCGGCCTCCGGTCGCCGCATGCCTGCCTTGGGGCAGCGCTCTCCGGACGCTGTGAGATAGCGGAAACTGCTGACTGTGGCCCTGCACATCGCCTGGTTATGTGTCGCTTTTGGTCCTGCACAGTGTGTGCTTAGCTTTGGTCACCCCACGGCTTCCGTTTGTCCTCCTACTCAGTGTCTCTGTGGTATTAGCGCTAACACGATCAATTTATGTGAACACCTGAGCTGGCATTTCACCCACCTGACCTTTTTGACGACCTTTCCTCGGCATTCTCCATTCGTCTTCACATTCCCCACGCGGCGGACTCTGAAACTTCAGGCTCACTCCAATCCAGGCCAGCGAACGCCGTCGCGCCGCCGACCACACGCGCCAGGATTGCCTGACCCGCCGATCAGCCGCCTCCGCCGGCAGTCGCGCCGGCCGCCGATTTCCCAGCGGAGTGCTCCTCCCACAACGCGCGCAGGCGGGCATCGGATCAGACCGGTGTCGGCTCGGCTGGCCTCATCTGCACGGACGCGCTCCTGCCAGATCCCGCCCGGCACGCGGCCGTGGTGTGACGGCGGCGCATGCCTATCCGTGCCGTCGTGACGCTGCCGGCCGCCGAAGGGCTCCAACGCGGCCCCGGTGTTGCCTCAGCTGCCCCTTCTGTGCCCTATCGTGTGGTGTGGACTAGTAGCCGTGGGTGTGTCAGCGGGCGTAGCAACTGGCGTCCGGCATATGTGAGGGCTCGGTGTCGGGTCAATGCTTTGTCCGTTCCGGTCCGCTTCAGTCCGTTCCAGTCCGTTCCGAGCGGTTCCGGTCCGTTTCGACTGTATTTGGCCCGTGCAGTGTCGTTCCAGTCGGTTCCGGTCCGAACTTATCCGTTTCTATTCGTCCCGGTACAGTCAGGTCCAGTCGGTTTGGATCCGTGCAAGTCTGATCTGGGCTTATCATTTCCGTTCCTGTCCAGACGGTTCCGTCCCATCCTGGTTTGGCCGTTCCACGCTGTTCCACCTCGTTCCATTATTCAATTTCCATTTCCGTTAGTTGGGGGCCGTTTGGGTCCATGGCAGTCCGCTCGTCGGCCAGTCCTGGCAGCTGAGTGAGCCGTCTCTCGCTCGCTTCAGCAGGGCAGCCACGTGGTTGACTTGGTCGATGACGACGACGACCAGTACGCGCGCGAGGACCGCACACTGGGCCTCTCCATGTCCTCGTTCAACAGCCGGAAGGACTCCGGTATCCGCAGTCGGCGCAGTAGCATCCAGGCCGAGGTGAGAGGCGCCGGGAGCCGCAGTCGGCGCAGTAGCATCCAGGTCGAGGTGAGAGGCGCCGGGAGCCGCAGTCGGCGCAGTAGCATCCAGGTCGAGGTGAGAGGCGCCGGTAGCCGCAGTCGGCGCAGTAGCATCCAGGCCGAGGTGAGAGGCGCCGGGAGCCGCAGTCGGCGCAGTAGCATCCAGGTCGAGGTGAGAGGCGCCGGGAGCCGCAGTCGGCGCAGTAGCATCCAGGCCGAGGTGAGAGGCGCCGGGAGCCGCAGTCGGCGCAGTAGCATCCAGGTCGAGGTGAGAGGCGCCGGGAGCCGCAGTCGGCGCAGTAGCATCCAGGTCGAGGTGAGAGGCGCCGGTAGCCGCAGTCGGCGCAGTAGCATCCAGGCCGAGGTGAGAGACGCCGTGAGCCGCAGTCGGCGTAGTGGCATCCAGGCCGAGGTGAGAGGCGCCGGGAGCCGCGAGGCGGCGCGCTGCGTCGACAGCGAAGTGGCCGGCGGGCCTGTCGGTGATATTACGTCTGAGGCTCACGCGAGAGATGAGCAATTTGGAGGGATTGACTTAATCCGGCGGCGTCTGAGAAGCCGCCCTCCTGTAATGGAACTCAGAGGAGTTCGGTACGGACGAACTCGAAGCTCTGCCGAGAGCGATCGGCCCATGTCAGGACTGTACCCTCCGGAAATTGGATCAACTTTGCGTCGAGAAACCGAAACTAAACCACGAGGCAACCACGAGCACTCCATCTCAGATTGTATTTCGTGACGCGCGGATTAGGCTGTTGTCAGAAACAGGCAAGTTTGCCTTGTTTTGAATAGCCATATCAGTAAAGGTCAATTACACGGAGAGAAACCTGTCCTATCTGCAAGATTCTCGGACATCCCAACCTCTTCGCCGTGGCGAAACCATGTACAAAGGGTTTGGAGCTCGCTGTGGATCGCGTGTCGGCTTCCGCGTCGAATGTGGTGCTTGGGCGATAACGGCTTTGCTTTACACCTGTTTCAAATGAAGAACACCACCGAAATACGTGATGACACATGCTTTTCGGGTAAACATCCGTTTGTCCCATATTACGTCAGCTCAGTTTCCCGGTCATGTCAGACTTATGCAACACCATCACGTCAACCGGCCGTGTTGAACTATCAGCCTGTGAAAACAGACGCGTGTCTTTAAACACAAGCCCCCGACCTCGTCGACGTAAACTATGAATCGTCCGTGCACGCTTGATAGTGATCTGAAACCAAAGCTACTTTCCTTTCACTCCAGTGAGCTTGTTACCTGTTAACGCCGTTTGATCTTCTCAATGACTACCGTACGAATGACATTAGATCCCCATGTAGCAGCATGCTGATAAGTACGTGCACTTGAAGTCCAATCCCAGCTGTGATGGGGTGGCTGCATGTTCAATGTTCCTGGTAGCACCGTTGTGGGAGGATTGATTTCACATGCGCTCGATGTTAACCTCGCTGGCACACAAGACACAAAAACTTTTCTTGATTGGGAAGTCTCGATTCTCTGGACCTGTGGCGTATCGCTACTGCTGCTTCGGCTTATCACATCCTTTTGCTCTGTGGCACAAAACGCGCATTGGACATTTTGTTTGCCAATCGTTTAGTTAGTCTAGAATTCGCAAGCCTTGGGGAGTTTATGTCTGCTTGTAGAATGCGCGCCGCTAATCCGAATCTTAATGCCAGCGCGCCGATGCCATGACATGTTTGAAAATATCGTTCGAACCAAGACTTCCGGTAATGATCACTCTCCCCCTGGAAACCTCACTCCGAAAACCGCCAACGCCACTAACGCTGTCTTCTGCTGCCTCCAGATCGGCGTGCTAAACGGCATGCGCCCGGGAGACCTCCTGAGCCACCGAGTCAGCGGCTACTGCACCTCCAGCCAGTCTTCACTGGCCGAGCCGTCCAACACAGGTGACCGCCGGTCCGGGCCGGGCCCCATCAGGTCACGGCCCGGCCAGCGCAGACCGCTCCCGCATGCCGCCGCCCTCTGGCGAACGCGTGTCTTCATCCTAACATAACGAAAACACCCCGGAGAAATCAACGAGGTCGAATAAGCATCTGACGCAACAGAAACCGTCGCTCCCAAACAAGTGCAAATGATGCCGGTAGATAAGCTTGTTAAGTTTTTGACGAAACAGTTTTATCAACTTAGTATAGTGACAACTAAGGCTTACTGTCTGTGAACCCAATGCGGCCCCCGCAGTTCACTGAGTGTGTGGTTGAACCCAGTGGACCCAGCCCAGCCCTACCAAGTCAGGCCCCTCCACCAAGGTCAGTATATGCAGTTGGCCTTGGTAAAGGGGCCCTACCGGCTTGGAAGACTAAGTGCTACACGAGTGTATGCGTTGATGAGTACATGGGGAAATGGCGGATGCAAGCACTCGGTACAAACCAAAAATTTTGAAAAAGCATTTTTACCTTCGTCAGCCTCAGCCTTTCCTTTACACAAGCCAGCTCCGGTCAAAGGACTTGTGGCGGCCTCTGGATGCTGCCTGACGTCGACGGCCACCCCGTCTGTGGGTCGGACGAGCGGGCCACAGGCTGTGGGAGGTGTTCATGGTGTCTGGATCTGGTGCGGTGCGCGGTCAGAGACCGGGGCAAGCTGTCGTGAAACGCTCAGGCAGACACTGGATTTTTGTGTTGCACCATTTATTGGCGCCGCCGACTATTCCGGCGTCCGTAAGGCATACTGACCGTCCAACCAGCGGGATGGTCAGTATGCCGTCGCGCTGGCCGGTGTTGTTTCCGTGCGGCATACTGACCGTCCAGCCAGCGGGACGGTCAGTATGCCGTCGCGCTGGCTGATGTTGCCTCTGCTTGTCTGCTCTTGTTCTACCCGTCCTGCCAATCTGTCACTCTTTTTTCCTCCGGTTTGTTTGTGTTTTGCTTGTCCATTTTGTGACTGAAGACAGCTATTGATTTCAGACTCTCAGTTTCTGCTGAATTTAGTTATATTGCCGATGGGATGTCTCTGCATGCAACAGTATGACTCAAAGTTGACGTGGAGCTACTGTTTGCAAGCCTCGCATACAAGAACATGCATGTGGTTTTATGGAGCTAGCTACTTATTTGGGGCACGATATGTGGTAAACCGCTGCCTTTGACTGCTTTTGTTTTATTTTATACCACATCGTCCTTCTCAGTTTGTTCCTGGTAGGGGCCGTTGCCGTTACAACACATCTGCATTATCGACCCCGATGTCTTAGCTCCGTCCGTGCAGTGTGTAGCTCCGTCCGTGCAGTGTGTAGCCGTGTGCCGGTTGACGTGCGTTTGACACCCGGTCCCGTGCAGTGCAGTATGTAGCTCCGTCCGTGCAGTGTGTAGCCGTGTGCCGGCTCACGTGCGTTTGACACCCGGTCCCGTGCAGTGCAGTGTGTAGCTCCGTCCGTGCAGTGTGTAGCCGTGTGCCGGCTCACGTGCGTTTGACACCCGGTCCTGTGCAGTGCAGTGTGTAGCTCCATCCGTGCAGTGTGTAGCCGTGTGCCGGTTGACGTGCGTTTGACACCCGGTCCCGTGCAGTGCAGTGTGTAGCTCCGTCCGTGCAGTGTGTAGCCGTGTGCCGGCTCACGTGCGTTTGACACCCGGTCCCGTGCAGTGCAGTGTGTAGCTCCGTCCGTGCAGTGTGTAGCCGTGTGCCGGTTGACGTGCGTCTGACACCCAGTCCCGTGCCCCGCAGAGATGGCGCCGCTGGCCGTCGAGGAGGCCGATCTGCTTGGTCAGGACCCAGCGCACCTGCTGAGCATGCAGCTGATGCAGCGCAAGCTCAGCGACCTGGAGATGATCAAGTGCGTGCAGCAGATGTCTAGTCACTCCAACTACTTCATCAACCCACCGATCGACCGGCTGACACTCTTCTACCAGGACCCGGTGTTCGAGCGGATGTACCGGCATCAGCACGCGCGCCGCCATCACTCCGCCACCAACGCGCTCTCGCTGCCCAAGTACAACACGCTGGTGGACACGGCCGTGGCGTCGCTCGTGTTCGCCGTGCTCGCCACCTCGCTGCTGTGCACGTTCGCGCCGCGGCCCGGCTGGGTGGCGTTCTGCGTGCTGGCCGTGCTGTGGCTGCTGCTGATGCAGACGCTGATCTGGCTGCGCCTGACGTCGACGGTCACGCGGCACGCGGACCAGCAGCCCACGCGGTTCGCGCTCGTCTACACGTGGTACACGCGCTGGTACCCGTTCCATGCGGTCGGTGCGACCCTGGTCAGTCTACCGGCGGGCGCCGTGTTCGCGAACTGGTCGTGCGAGAGCTTTGAGCGCGACTGGCGCTGCGGCGAGCTGTACTTCCTCATGCTCTTCGTTGGCCTCATCCACTACTGCAACTTCACGCAGCTGAATTGCTGGATGAAGAGCATGTTGGCTACGCTGTCGGCGGCGGTGGTGGCGGTGATGGTGTACGCGCTTTGCGACTTTTCGCACCCGACGACCGACGTCGGCACGGCGCCGCCCCCGGCCGGGCCGCAGCGGCCGGGCGTCTTCCCGGCCGACCTGGTCGTGGGCATGGTCTTGTTGGTGGCCCTCGTGTGGATCCTGAACCGTGAGTTCGAGATCAGCTACCGGCTGGGCTTCTGCGTGAACCTGATGGCGGCGCGCGACAAGGCCGAGGTGCAGCGGCTGGAGGGCCAGGCCGACTGGCTGCTGCACCAGATCATCCCCGTGCACGTGGCCGACGTCATCAAGACCAAGGCTAAGTACTCGGAGAACCATCACGACGTGGCCGTCGTGTTCGCCAGCATCATCAACTTCAACGCGCTCTACGATGAGACCTACCACGGCGGCAGGGAGTACCTGCGCGTGCTCAATGAGATCATCGGCGACATGGACGACCTGCTCAAGAAGTACCCGAGCGTGGAGAAGATCAAAACGATCGGCAGCACGTACATGGCGGCGTCGGGCCTCGACCCCAGCCAGCGGCGGGACGCCAACCCACCAGACGAACACTTGGTCCAGCTGATGGAATTTGCCATGGACTTGCAGAAGGCCGTCGACGCCTTCAACGCGTCGCTGTTTGAGTTCGAGATGGAACTGCGCATCGGCTACAACTTTGGTGACGTCACGGCGGGTGTCATCGGCACGACTAAGCTGTACTACGACATCTGGGGCGATACGGTCAACACGGCCAGCCGTATGGACTCCACCGGCGTGCCGGGCCGCATCCAGACCACACAGAGCTGTGCTGAGGCGCTCGACGCCTACTTCGAGTTCGAGAGGCGCGGCGAAGTGTTCGTCAAGGGCAAGGACAACATGGTGACGTACTTCCTCAAGGCGAGGCGTAGCGGCAATACGGCAAGCTAGTGCGCGCGCTCCGCGGCCATACGATGGGCAATACTTTTGTGATGTTTCATGTGTCGCGTCATATCGCCGTTGCTGGTGGTGCAAGCCTCCTCCATATCGCCATACAAACGAAGCGTTGTTGTTATCTGCTGCGGCGGCATCGTGTCGATGCTCGCCTCGTCCGTATTGTTGCCTGTAGCACGTTCATGTTCACGAGCCGCGAGGACCGGTAGCTAGCAAGGCGCGTCGCGACAGGACTATTTATACGGACAGCTGGCCGGGCGGGCCCAACGGCGCACGCCCGGACGCGTGATGCATTCCTCCGGGGGTGTTGCCCCTGGCGGCAGCGGGCGGCGAACGAGGATGGTGACCACGAGCTTTCCGGGGCGGCGCGCGGCGGCCAAGGGTCGGAGGCCGCGGCCGCAGGGTGGCAGCCCCGCCCGGGGGCCGCTTGGCGCGGCCAGCGCCGTTTCTCACTCATGGAGCGTGTGTCGGTCGGAGCGTGAGCGTGAGGCAGAGTGCGCTCGGAGCGCGCGGCGTGGCTGTTGGTTCGCTGGAGGCGTCCTGTCGCAAATGGACCAGGGTCCTAGTGGGTGTACGGACTGGGTGGGTATATGTGCCAGTATGACGCGAGGACTGCGCATGTGAGCGCCACTATGTGCCCATTTGCACGCCTGTGCCGATGTGTCCGTTCGTGGTTGGCCAGACCCGTGGAGGCCGCGCTACTTATTGAGTGTGCCAATGCTATATTTGTCCGAAAATGGTAACTCCCGTGTGTGAAGCTAAGGCTCGTTGCCTCTGCTCGTTTGCAATGGTGCCTTGTTGCTGGTATTCAGGCCTGATAATAAAAGCCATACTGCTCCACGTCTTTTATTTGCGACTGTTTCACAGCGAACTGGCTTCATGTTGTTTGTCACGTTGTTGTGTGATGATGTGTCATGATTTTTCTAGTTTTGAATTCAGTTTGCGGTGCTGGTTTTGACCGCAACTGAAGAGTTTCTGGTAGGCCTACATCTGTGGCCTCACTGGTGCTGGTGTCTCTTGGCCGGTTGCAAAGATTAGCCAATGATGTGGAGTGTGATTGAGAACCGGGGGTATGTACTGCCTTCTGCTCAACTCGTCTTGCACCCTCCGCAAGATCGAAAGTGTGGAACTTGTGCAAGGCGCCTCAAACGAATTCCTGAAGAGATATTTCCGTAGCGATGGCTTTCCTTTGGCGACTGTCTGTTTGCTAATCCGGAGGTACATCAACTTTAGGCACCTTTCCTCGTCCAGATTCTTTGATGTTCCGAAACTCGAAAAAAATGTTTTGCACTACCCTCCTGTGGCCCGGGATTTGAAAGCCTTAAAACTGAGTTCCTCCTGCCCTATCATATCATAATCACATTAGCTTGTAGGTCCCAGGGTTGTTCGGGTAAATTCTTCCTTCAAACTTAAGGAGAGATTGCCTAAATGCCGCCAGTTGCCTATCGCATACGAGTTTTATTTTGTTACTCAAGAAGGGCATCTTACAGAGGTTCCGCACTTCAGAGCTTACACAGTCGTATTCAGTTGTATTTGGGATATACATCCGAACTCCAGTGTTGGTTTTCAAAGTGTCTCATGCAGAACATATTCCACGATGCAATATATATATATATGCGCATACATAATCGAGGTACGGTATCTATATATGTATTATAACACATGCGCACACTGCCGTCAGCACTTGTCTCGGGCTATACGATTACATAGCAGAGGCACGGCGACCTTGTGACCCCGACCGCCTCTATGACGCCGCCAATCGGCCGCCAGCAGTACCTCCACTGCGACCGCATCGTGTCAGTCGTGTCACGATGAGTAACGAACGCCTCACACGCATGTGGAGTTAGCAGAAATTGACGACCCCTCCGAATTTGCAGAGCCGTGCACCAGTGATACTCCCTGGCGCCCTGACTCATCATGCAACCCTCTTATCCTCTTTGTTGCTTCATCCTGCATCCTCGTGGCGCCCCGCTTGTCCGAGGCAGGTAGCATGCGTCAGCCACGAACGGGCCAAGAGGCCCGCTGGAGGGGACCATGACCGGGCACCTGGCGCAAACCCCGCAGAGCCGTCCCTGCGCAGGATAAGGCTCAGTCCCCCCCCCCCTCAGGCACACGTAGTCCTGATCCGCTGTTATTCACTCTCCTTCATCCCATAGCCCTGAAATGATCATAACTGGTCGAAAAGGATATAATCCGACTAGCCGAATAACCAAATTCGATTTATCGCGCAAGGCATTTCGCGGGACATTAGGCGGGTTGATACGTGGGGATCAAAGGTCAACCATCTAGCTTCACTTAAAGGATACTTGCTATACAACACCTGATCCGGAATGTTTACGGTTGCCAAAGATGTCGAAAAAGATTCGACTTTCTCTTCAATCTAGAATACATTAACGTATATGCATTACGCTTTCTCAATGACTTCAGCACGGGACTGTGGCATGAAAAATCCTCCTCAATTTCCTTCAAAATCGCAACATGTCTAAGAGCATACGGAATGCCATTGACCACTCTGTCTTTTTGCGAGGCACAAGGAACTCTAATAACTGTAGATCATCGAACACCAGATTGACATTCAACACCGCCAACTATACTCTGTAAGTCATCGAACACCAGATTGGTATTCCACACCGCCAACGGTACTCTGTAGGTCATCGAACACCAGATTGATGTTCGACACCGCCAACTATACTCTGTAGGTCATCGAACACCAGATTGATATTCGACACCGCTAACTATGCGCTGTAGGTTATGGAACACCAGATTGGTATTCCACGCCGCCAACTATACTCTGTAGGTCATCGAACACCAGATTGGTGTTCGACACCGCCAACTATACTCTGTAGGTCATCGAACATCAGTTTGGTATTCGACACCACAAACTTCACTGAAATCCGTACAAATGCCGCGCTACGCGTTTATTCGCTTGTACCGACAGTGATGTCGCGTGGTGGTCAAAGGGTGCAAATGATAATTTGCACAAATACTGGCTAATTTCGCACAATCGAGATAAATTTGCACATGTTCTGTGTGCGGAAAGAAATAGCGCAGTGCTTCTCACGCATTGTTCATTATTCAACGCTGTCAAATCGTGGAATTTGGGTTGATCGCTTAATGTTAAAGAAAAGGGGGTGGATCAAAGCACAATAATATATGAATAACGTAAAAGCTGCGTCATGTTGTAAAAGTGCCGCCCTATCACCCAGTGTTGGCTGTCGGCATTTTGCGGGTGAGTATTGCGTGACTACGTTTGCAATGTAGGCACCCGTGTATGATTCTGTGTGATAAGGCTTAAAACATATATTATGAAATTGGCATCGGTAAAATTACAACGAATTGAGTCAAAAGTGAAGCGTTACACGTCACGATTTTTGGCAGACTTTGTGGCGTCACTTATGTTAAAATTTCCCGTGGTTCCTAAATTTGCGTTCACGTGGCCCTGGTGGCTGCCGACATGACCGCCAGCATAAAGCGCGAATTAAAAAATTGACATATTCTTCGTACACGGTACTCCTATTTACACAGTGTCGTCACTTCCTTCACCACCGCCTTTCAAACAGGCTCAAGTTGTCACATTTTTGCCAAAAACGCATCGGAATAAATGAAGTATTTGATAAACATCAAGAGCATGCACACCCGCTACAGCATGGGGAATGTTATGGAACGGAAATGTATTTGGTCAAATGCTTTTTTGTCGACTGCATTTAACCGAATACTATTTTGTCGAGGTGTCTGTCTGCCGCCGCGCAAGTAAGGAGATACTTAAAGCACCGCATGTTGCCGATATGCCTTCGCCTTTTTATCGTCGAAATGCCGTCTTACCGACGTGTCAGAATTGGCGAAACGTTTATGAACTGAGTGCTAACTTACCGAAATGTTCTTTGGCTGAATGCTGACTGCCAAAGTATTCTGTACCCGCGTGCTTATTTGCCGAAACGCTCTTTAGCCGAATGATAATTAGCTGAGGTGTTCATTGGTCGCATGCTTATTAGCCGTAACGCTCCTTAGTCGAATGTCTGCCACCGAAATGTGCTTTGGCGGAGTGTTAACTTGCTGAAGTGCTGTGAAATAAAATGCTGATAAACTGGATGTTCTTCAGTCAAATGCTTACGCGTCTGAGTGCCGCAAACAGGCTGTGTACAGAGGCCTCTTTATTGAAGCGAGTGTGCCTAGTCTTTTCGGTTATCCAAAAAGGCATCCTTGCTGGTATTTCAATCAAGCTATTACTGATGAAAGCAACTGAAAGTGCATTTTGGGTTTTTAGCAATGACAATTCAATACGATAATTTGTTTCATTTGTGTTGTCGATGTCTGTACGCACCGTACGAGAGCGGGCGGCCACAGCTCATAGAGGAGAGGCCTCAGTAGCTCCCTTAAGATCTCGAAAACCAGAAAAGCCGGATCCCAGGGAAAGACGAGACTGGTAAGTTCTCGTCAGGCTGTCAGGCCGGTGCAACCGAGCCATGGCGACTGTGGCTTTTGACAGGTTAAATCAGGTTCACCCTCCTATTACTGCAGGAGCTTAACATGTTACGACGCAATACGGAAAACCGCGTTACAGTTTTCCGTACTCGGATATCTCTTAACGCGCGTCCGAGTGGGCGGTCACTTCTCCCCAGAAGCTTTTTTTCAAAACTACCTCCAAATTTCGTTTAGCTGTAGGTGATTGGATCACCAATCTTGCGGTGTAAACAGGAGGAGGATCTGATTTAACTTGTCGAAGGCCAATTCGCCTTTGCTCTGTCGCACCTATCTGACAGCTTTACAAGAGCTTTTCAATATCGTCTTTTCCTGGACTCTAGCTTGCTTGGCCTTGCTGTCTTCGTGGATAAGGAAAAGCATGTTGAGCTCGTAATCCAGCGGTAGCGGGTATTAGTTCCAGATCGGGCGCATTGTTTGGCCCACTTGAAATGGAAAGCTCAGCTGGCAACTGGCCAACGAGTGACAAGCCCGGCCCGAGGTGGCCGAGCCCCAGCAGTGTGGAGCACGTAATCCCTCCGCATTCCTAGCTGGCGAAAGGGTGGAGGCAAAATTATCCGTCGAACTGGACGGCACGACTTGGGTGGTGGGATCAGAGTATGCACAACAAGCTATGCCGTGCTGCTCTGAACCTGAAGTCACCCATGTAAGCCATACGGAGCTTCTGTAAAAGGCAAATGGGATGTACACATACATAGTTGTTGATCTATGGCTGATCAAAGTCAGGCTATGGCTGTAAGGAAATGCAATTAGGGGATCGTTCTATCTGACGAGACAACAGAGTGTTAGATGAAGCCATACATCTTTGAGATAGCTTCTTAGATGATTAGATGATTTAATGTAGGATTATGGTTAGTCCCGTTGACCTGAATCAATGTTGACGTTGGGTCATACATAAGGGTCAGGCCGAGGTCAAAACCAGATCGCATTTTTGCCAGACAAATTGCTTTATTATATAGCTTTTCAGGTACATGTCGAATTTTTAGATCACATGCAGGTTAACAGACATTCCGTGTGGCCTTAATAAATGTTGGATGAGGCCATTAGCCGCTCAAGTGAGTGGCTCCACGAGAAGCCGAGCACTGCCGATGCATTCTCGAATGTTCTCTTGTAGCGTCACTGTGGTAAATTTAAGGGGGTCGGGTCTTTTTATAAATCACGAGTTCCCGTGGCAATGATAAATATTGAATAGAGAGATAAACGAATTATTCAAGACATATTTCAGATTATATCCAGAACTACCCGTTGTTCCATTTTGTCAATGACACCATTCGATTCGATAGGGCATGGGCCGTCTGAAATGTGTCACTAGTACCGGCTCGTGTAAGATCCATCACGCGTCCGGACCTGTTCTTAGTCCTGGCTTGTTCGCCTGATTTTTTGTACCTTAACCCTCTTCCCACGAACACTTTTTATCTTTAGCATTCACGAGATCCTCAGAGCCCCTCTCCCCCCCCCCCCCCCCCACTAGGTCTCGAAAGTAGGGAGGCTAGAGAGGCGAAAAACGCCATTGGAAAAGTGACTGAACCATGGTGATGGTGATGTTTCACAGGTGAAATCCGATCATGATGGTCAAATTTGCACTTCATGGGACCCCTATTATCTTCAGAATTAAGTATGCCACAGCGATGCAGAAAACGGCGTTCAACATCCGGTAAATTACATCAGACCGGCAACAGCGGAGATCGGAAGTATTGCCATGTGATATGTCATCCCAGGGCAAGTAGGTGTTGGCTCTTCTTACATTGACCCGTAAGGCTCTAGCAAGAACTAATCAGCCACATCTATGGTGAAAGCCTATGGGGAACATCTATGGGGAACTCTCATAGCTTAAAGACACGTGACAATAAGGTTTCACTCGTATGACCTTCGAGTATAAAATCAGACCACAAGGGTAAAATTTTGGCCTAGTCTGACCATGGGTGACTTGACCAGATAAAATCAATCATCGCTATTAAGTTCGAAGTGGACAAGTTAAAACAAAAAACACCCCAGAGGATCTTTCTGCATCGCAATGCGAAGTGGTCTTTGAGAAATAGGCGTTAGTTGTAACTTTTGCGCACGTTGTTACCAAGATGATCTTAAGAAAGAGATCATGGACCACGAGCAAAATTATGGTCAGATGAATCGAATTTTTACAGTTATAAAAATTATGTAGACTCAGCTACCGAAAACCTCAGCACCGTGTTCAGAAGAAGTTTAAAACGTGCTCCCTAAAAGCCTAGGGGGAGGGGACTGTAAACCATACAAATTATGTAGACTCAGCTACCGAAAACCTCAGCACCGTGTTCCGAAGAAGCTTAAAACGTGCTCCGTAAAAACCTAGGGGGAGAGGACTGTAAACCACCTATTGTAGGGTAAGGGTTAAGCCAGTAATGCGACGAGCAAGCGGATTGGAATCAAATGGCTTTAGATGGACTTTCACATGTCATTTCACCTTGCTGATTCTGCAAAGCGTGGCATAACTAGTAGAGTCAAGTATCGATGCGGCCTTTTTGTGACCTCCAGATGACACAACTGGCGATGTCCCGGAAAAGTCCCAAAGGTCGTTGACGTAATATGGTACACTAATGTGCTCTATTGGCAGCAAAAGGAAACCCAATCGTTCAGGATCCCCCTGGCCAATCGTGTTTCGCATCAACTCATAGAAGTTGCCACGCCTCGGGTCCATGGTAGATAAAGCATTACCTATCGGAACGAAATATACCGACGTTTTGGGGAAAATAAACCTTCAACCTGCTCGCTTTACGACAGTTTATAGGACGTTTTTGGGATGAACATCATGTTCCGGATAAAATGGTGCATTGGTATTTAATTTTTTGTCATGTTTAACAGCTTAACGGTTGACAAGAGATGCTTTTTTCATGTTTCCGCGTGGAAAATGTCATTTTCAGGTCATGTTTTCGCCGTCAGATGACGGTTCGACCGACTCCCATCCTCAAACTAGACTTGTCTCCAATCTCACAGACGTGGTTACACCATTACCCATGGAGTGACGGGCACTACGGAGTTCAGCCGCCCGCTCAGTGCCGCGTTGACCGATGGGCGGGCTAATAAGGGCAACAACGCCCGGCAGGGACAATCGGAAGACTGATCGCAGATCAGTGAAGGCAGCTGTGCCCTGACCGAACAATCAGAAGTCACTGTAGATTTTGCAGTCTGCAGTCTTTCTCCAAAACGAACGCTAAAAACGAACGAAAGAACATCTGAGTACTCTCGGTATAGAAAGAGCCTACTTGTCAATGGCGAAATGAATAGCGTCGGTGACTTATGTCATGCTTCCGTTAACGCATGACTTCCATAGTTTGTCGGCTTAATTTTTTGACAGAACTGATCCCGGGGTAGCTTCTGGCTTCTGTTCCAATAATAACAGATGAAAATGAAAAATAACAACAAAAACCATATCTTTAAGAAATGGGGGATTTTTGTTTGGAGGGGGGGGGGGGAGGCATCCAATATCAGTGGACCCATTGCCAGCCCTGTGCCCCCACCCCCAACCGACTCTTGCCAAGGACTTCGCTCGCAACTGGGGATTTTGCAGGCACTTTCGGACCATTGCTCCCCGAACATTCCATTTGATTATATTTTTATCCGAACGACCTGGTAGGACGTAGCCTTGCAATTCCTGAACATTTGGGAGAGCCTTCCGATTTTTCTGACTAGCCATACTGTCGCCGTGATAACTGTGCGTGCAGGTATAATTTGCAACGCATGCTTCGACTAAGTTTGGATTGCATCACGAAGACCTTTACAACTTTTAAACGCTTGTAAACGATTCGTTTACCAGGTGCCTCATTTAGTTTTTACTGCGGCATGTATTGAAATCATCGACGGTTCCCAGAAAAGTAAGCGATAAAAGCGCGTTACAGGTCCTTCGCTGCAGCTCTTACTCTCGATGCGTTTACAGGGCCTAATGCGATCTACGTTCATTACCAAGACTGAGGGCTAGCTGTCATTTCGCTGAGGATGCCCGGAGCCCCACTAGTGTTTCAATGGTATGCCATTTTCGTGGTGTGTGTTCGTTTCTAGCCTTTTTGTAGTAGATGTTCGACAAAGAGCTAATATCAGAAAAAAAAACTAATTATAATTTTTTAAACAGGTACCCAAAATATACTGAAACTTCCCCCAGAAATGTTTTGTAGTTTGAGAAATACAGCGTGGAAATGTAGTCGGATACAAGCTTACTAAGTATTCGTTTTGGAGACCAATTGCACAGCATCAAGTCCACCTCTACATACAGGTACAGTCGCCATTTTGAATGGTCTGACGCCAGGGTTCTTTTGTGTATATTGGTAAGAAGTGTGCCTTGTTTGTGTACATGGATGGAAAGATGTGTGTTCCAAAATCTTTGAATTTGTATTTAAATTAGTTGTAATGGGCTTCCGTTGGGCATTTGAAGTTGAAAGCGTGTCGGAATGCGGTGGGAAGGCCTGACCCGAATTCGTCTTATCTGCGCCCGATTCCATGTGTAGTCAGCAAAACTACCTGTTTTCTTTGTCTGAATTAAGCCTTTATTGGGTTTGCTTTATGACTGGGTCAGGTAAGAGAATTAGCAGTAATGTTTTGGAGACTTCAGAGATATATTTTTAAGATTTGTTGAAATCAATATTGTAACAAATTGGAGTGATGGTAGATGTTTTATAATTATACTTAGCTCAGCTGTTTTTTGGAGATTTTATTTATACTTTGAGATGTTTTGTATGCACAAATTAGGATGCAATGTGCAAGCAAAGTGTGATGCTGGCATGCTGCGTGAGGAAGCAGTTTTAAACAAACATTAATGCCATGTCCTCACATGCTCTGGCATCAGAGCTTATGTTGGTTTTTCAGGGCTGATATGGCAATCCCCTCTATTTCCTGATACTTTGTAGTTGAGTCACAGACTTTCATGGTGTAAAAGCATGGCAGGCACCTCAAAGAGCATTGAATAAATTGCATTGTGTGTGTGTGACCTAAAACATGTAACTAACAATCAGAGTTGGTTATTACCAGTCATAGAAATTGTTCCAACTCCAGCAGTTGTTGCAATTTTTATATCAAGCTTTGTCATTGTGCTTTTTTAGCTGTACATATGTGGTTTTTCAGACTATAAACAACCATTATTTCTGTTTTCTCAGTATGATTTGCAGTATAACTCAAGATTGTACATTCGTCAGACTTTTGTCCCTTGCATAAGGCTTTTATGTTCTAGTTATGTGCCTCAACATATTTTTTAGCTGTCACACTAGGTTTGAAGTGGTTTTCAGCTGTTTTAACTGGTTCAAATAGAGATAGAACCACAAGTGGTGTTTCTGTGTAGCTGTGACCAAAGCATATCTAATTATAGCTAATAAGAAACATTGGCTTTTTCCATTGCTAATGAGGCATCAAATGATAGTCATGTTTTTGGAATTTGCATTTCCATGGCCATGAAGTGCAAGCTATTGGATGCTGAGTTACAAGTAATGGTGTAAGTGTTGCGGATCCACTTGTAGATGGGACTTCCTGCAAAACTGTTTGATGTATGTTCTCATATATCAGGAAGACTCCAATGTGGACATGGGTGTGATTTATTTGGATAGCAGTATTCAATTATGTAGCCTTTTACTAAGGCATGTCTGATTAGAAGCATTAATGCAAATCTTGGAATGTTTATTATGTGTAGCTAATAGTCTACTGGATCCCATGCTCCATTGCTTTCATCTGAAGCTTTGTCATACAGATTTAGGTAGCTAAATTATTTTGATGAGGCCCTGTGCTGATGGTGACCAGGTAGTTTTAGGTCATTTTGGTCCAGCTGCATTATTCTTATCCAATAACATATAAATATTGATTTGTTATTGCTCTCTCAGCTCACACCTTATACTGCATAGATCATAGCAGGTGTAGTTGTACCCTCCATTTATTTATAAGGTCAAAGTTTTTTGTGTGTTTCAATAGGCCTACATGCAATTTAAAGGTTCTATCTCCTCTGTGCTCTGTAAAGGCAAACATTTTGTTCATAAGTTTTGTTTGAATAGTTGTATAGGTGGGATTTGGCTTAAAGCACTTGCCAAGTGGTGCTTGCTGTGTGTGCACAGAAGCCATGAGAGAAGGATGCAGATCTTTCTCATCACATGATCTTTTCCAAAATTAGTTTGACTGGCTTTTGCCAGAGAGGACTGTACAGTGTTTTATTTGTCATTCACTGTAACACCATGGCCACTGCTAGCACATACTGATCACTGACATGCTGACATATTGCTCCATCTTGGCCTGTAATGTGAAGTCAGATTTGTCATTCACAAAGTGATTCAACTTATTTGGTACCTTTGTTCATCTTAATTTGTATTTTGGCTGGTGATATCTTTTGTCCATGAGGTTTTTGTGATTTCAATTTGACACATGCAGAGTATCTCAAGTCACACATGCAGATTTAATATTTTTGCAAGTAGACTCATGTCAATTAAGAATTTGCTCCAGAGGCAAGCTTTTCTTTTGCCCAGAACTCTGACAAACATATACCATGTGCTGATCTTTACATTGCTTGCACAATACATGTCTTGCTTTGTTGGCCACTTGCGGGCTAGTCAGAGTTGTTCAGCAGATCTAACTCACATGCAGATTTAAATATGTGCATTTTTTACACAAAAGGCTGTTGAGCTAAATGGGTGAATAGATATAAATCACTTGCAAATTTAATTTGATCTCATTGCTATAAAGGAGGTACTATTTGTCATTTTGTTTCACAGCAAAAGGTAAGCCTGTGAGTAACTCTATAATTGTTTGATGGCTGATGTGCAACAGATCATGCTCAAGTTGGGCAATTGCATCTTGGTAATGAGTTTGCATTAGAAGGTGATGTCACTAGAGGTTTTTGGGTTAGGTCTCAAATGATGGAAGGTCATGAGAACAATTCACTGCATAAAAATGCTGGTTTGAAGTTGTAAAGGATAAGAGTTTCATCACTTAAGTTCATATGGTGCAAAAGGTAGTCAATATCAGAGTTTTTCATGCCCAGTTTTGTGTAGGGTGAATGTTTTTCCAGGTGTGTATAGAGCAACTGGCCATGTATGGTAAAAGTTAATGGCATCTGGGTAGTGTTAATGTAGGAAATGAATGTGAAGTTTCTTGGTAGCTTGCTGGATGTTGCTTGTCTAAAATCACAGACACAGAATTGTGGTAATAGGAATAGAAAGGTAGGTATGTGGTATGCAAATGGTTTGGAGGTATCTTCCTACTTTGTTTACCATTATGCTCAAAACATGAATAAACAAAACAGTAAGCAAATTTCTAATGTTGTGCAATATCATGATAAGTTTGCATTTTCTACAGCCTAGACTGGCCTGCTGACTGCACATTTACCAGGATTTGCTCTGAATGTTGTAGGCAGAAAAACCTCTTGGCCAAGTAAGTACCAGTTGATCAGCATGATGCACATCTTGTCTTGTTCAAGGCTGCTTTGCATTCACCAGGATTGGCATTGTTTGGGCAGGAAGTGTAAAGGAAGCTCTTGATGTAAAATACAAAAGTTGTTGCCATTTGGTGACAATCAGGCCAGTGATGCATCACAAACATAGTTTATTTAAATTTTGGAAATGGTTCTTTTTATTGGCATCGCTAATGGATTCAATTACAGTAGAATAATATCTTCAGTTGGAGAGTGCAATCAGTCCCAGATTCCCCTGTTCGCATAAATTTTGAGTGTCACACACTGAAATGGGAATCAATAGCACCATGTTTGGACTGAGAGCAAGGCATTGCTTTAGACAGACCTCTTCATCACAAAATTTTTCCTTAGACAATTTACTGTAATGCAGATTTGTATCCTATGCAAACCTTTCATTGCATGAATATGAGCATGATACAAATGTTTGATAGATAATGTTCTGCAATGCAGGTCTTTGTCTTTGACAACTTTGTGCAGTATTGAAACTGGCCCAAATGTTTGATAGACAATGTTCTGTAATGCAGAGATTTGTATTTGACAGACTTGTGTGGTATTGAAACTGGCCCAGATGAGCTAAATGCAGATAAATTTTGCAAGGCAAGCTCTTGTCCAACAAGGTCTCACTTGTATAAACTCCCATGAACCTTTTCCAATAAATGTTTGTCCAGAAACCATCTCTGCAACAGTACAAAGTGAGTGGTGTGTATTTCTAAGTAACACTGGAGCAATTTGTGTGACAGGGAGTTGAACAGACTAGCAATTTTGCTCTGATCATGTGCAAACCCAAATGATGAACAGCAGTATGTGTGCATGTGTAAGATTTGTAATGTTCTGATCACATGCAGACCCAAAAGATAAAAAATAAATATGTTTGTTTATGTGATGTTTGTAATGTCTATGTGATATATGTATTAAATGGCAATGGGAAAATCAGATAAGTGCCATACTGAAGTATACAGAACTACATTACAAGTTTTTGGGGGCCTGCTTTGCCAGGCAATGGAGTTGGGATGTATTTAACATCATTGAGATTTCCTGGTTGATTGGACCTCTGGCTGACAGGATATATGGCTGGATCAGGTGTGCGTGCTGACTCCAGGGACATAACTGCATGGAGGAATTTTGGTGTGCTAAATGTTTTATATGTTTATTATATCTCATTATAAATATGATATGAAGTTTGGTAAGTTCTGTTCACATCATCAGCTTGTGGCCATGGCTTGACTTGCCATGACTTCACATTCATGCTTGATCACATATCAAGCATGTTGACTGACGGGACAGCCTGGCTGACTGGTGGGCGTTTGGCCACAGGTGCGGACTGCGATGGGCGTATGGTCAGCCAGCGCGCCAGCCTAGAGCCGTGCCGCCAGCCGCCAGGCGTTTGATGTGCCGGAGATGAGCGACCACCTCGGCGATGGGCCGCCCAGCAAACGGTCCAAATACGGAGATAGCTATGGCTCCGGCCTCGACCCCGCGGGGGGCAATGGTGGGTCATGTGTGCGTTGTCTGTGTGATGATGGTGGGGATTGTAGTGCACGGGCGTGCACAACAGTGGTGCGGCTGGCCTAAAATCCGCTGATCACTGTCCATTCGTAGCAGTCTGGCGTTGTTTATTTCAAATTCTGCATTTGGTTTTACATTTGACTGCATAACGCTGAGGTCAGCCGCCAGGTTTGACGCAGTGTGTTATGAGGTTTAAACGTAAGCAACGCGTTTTGGTGTTTGCACCGTGTTTTGATCCTGGGATTTTCATCTTGTAAGGGACTTCTACATGGTGAAGTTGAAAATACTGCAAAATTAGTTTGATTTTTTATTGTTATTGCTTTTGTTGTGTTGAAAAAGTTCACTTGATTGCTGCATTATAAACCAGTTTGCTCATGATGTCACGGGTTTTATCTTATGGACATGAGCAGTTGGCCTGCAGCTTTGCCTTGTCTTTGTCTTGAGGATGTATGTGACGCCCGCTGGACGGCCGCAGACATGGCGCTGTCGCTGGACCTGGAGCTGTCGCTGCCGGACGAACTGGAGACGGCCGCCTCCAAGCCGCCCGGCCAGTACGGCGCGCCCAGCATGGCCAACGGCACCGCCGACTCCGGCCACATGCACATGATGATCAACAAGCAGCAGCTGGCTGGCATGGGCCGGCCCGTCGGCGCACTGCAAATGGCGCCGAACGCGGTCGTCTCGAAGGGCGCGCTGGTGCGGGCCGATGGACGCCCCCGGGATCCCCATGACCAGCCTGCATGGCCGCCTGCCCATGTCGAACGCGGGCGGCATGCACCAGGCGGGCGTGTCGATGCACGCCAGCGTGCCCGGGGTCTCCATGGGCAACGTGCTGTCGAGCGCGCTGTCCGGACCGCTGAACACGCTGAGCGGCGCGTCCGGCGGCGGCGGCGGCGCGCGTCCGGCCGGTATGTGGACGGGCCGGCCGGCCGGGGCCGCACCTCGCCAATGGCCAGCCGGCCGGCGGGCCTTCGCCGCAGCTGGCGCAGCAGCTGATGCAGCGTCAGATGGCGCCTCAGTCGGGCGGGCACATGCAGGTGCGTCCGACCATGGTGAGCACCATCGGCGGACTCCACATCAGCGGGCGGGGACGGTGGGTGGTGGGTGGTGTGAGCGGTGTAAGTACTCTTCAGCTTTGTGTGGTTGATCTGGTGGTGCTAATTTCATCAGTGTGGTTCCAACGTGCCTTAGCAACAGATCTTAGTGTTATTCAGTATTATGCTCTTTCTGGTCTGTGTTGTCTGCTGTGGTTAAATGCCAATCCCACTACCTTAAAATCAAGCACCAGCGAGGTCGGTTTCGCCTCGCCGGCTAGTGTGATCCCGTGCCGACAAGCAGTGCTGCTGTCGTGGCGCGGGTGGCCAGCTGACTGGCCTGACTGACTGTTGGCAGGGTGCGATGAACCAGCTGGGCGGGCCGCAGCCACCCACCCAGCAGAGCTTTAACTTCCCGGGGCAGCAGCGGCTCATGGCGCCGGCCGCCTCGGTCAGCAACGGCACCACGACCGGCCTGTACTCTGGACAGGGTGCGGCGCCCGGTGGTCCCGCCCCGGCCGGTAAGCCTGCCGCCGCCGCGCCGGCCCCGCAGCAGCCGCAGCAGCCGCCGCCTCCACCGCCGCCGCAACAGCAGCAGCAGCCACAGCAGTCGCAGCAGTCACAGCCACCGCAGCAGCAGCAGCAGCAGCAACAGCCGCAGCGGGCGGCGTCAGTGGCGGCGGGCGGACGCGCGCCGCACTCCGCCGGTGACCCCGAGAAGCGTAAGCTGATCCAGCAACAGCTGGTGCTGCTGCTGCACGCGCACAAGTGTCAGCGTCGCGAGCAGACCGGAGGCGACCACACGGAGGTGAGGGCCGGCCCGGCAGGCCGCGGGCGCCGGGACACAGGCGTGCCGCGAGCCTGGGGTCAGACTGTGGGAAGGTTGCTCTGCCAGCCGAGAAGCAAATTGCGTGTTGACATTGAGAAGCAGCATGATTAGCAACAACCTACGGTCGTGGTGATTGGGATGAGCAAGGTTTGTCTCGGAAAAAAGATATTTGGCCTGTTTGGTCAACCTCACGTGCACACACGTCGATTTTGTTCAGTTTTTGGGTTCCGGACTCAACAACTTTCGTTCACTCTTGTACAGCTACGGAAAAACACCGTTCTCTGACCGGCTTGGTTTGGTGTGTTCCAGTGCAAGCTGCCACACTGCCAGACGATGAAGGACGTGCTGAACCACATGACGGAGTGCCGGGAGGGCAAGTTGTGCCGTGTGCCGCACTGCGCCTCCTCGCGCCAGATCATCACCCACTGGAGGAGCTGCATTCGCACCAACTGCCCGGTGTGCCTGCCGCTGAAGCAGGCGGAGAACCGGCGCGGCCAGCAGCCGCGGCCGCCGGGCGCGCCGGCCGGCGGCGCGCCGCAGCCGCCGGCGGCCGTCCAATTCACCGCCGCGGCCGCTGCCGGCCTGCCGCCGCAGCCGCAGCCGCAGCAGCAACAGCAACAGCAACAGCAACAGCAACAGCAGCAGCAGCAGCAGCAGCCCGCGGCGGCGGCAGCAGCGGTGGCGTCAGCAGGTGCTGGCCAGCTGCCGCGGCCTGCTCTGCCGCTGAGCGCCGCCGCCGGCTCGCCGGCCGGCCTCGGCACCGAGCCGGCGGTATCGGCCACGGCCGCCGCCGCCGCCGCCTTCCAGAACAGCCGCCATGACCTGCCCAGCTGGGCGTCCGACCTCAACAACGACAGCGCCAACAGCGTGAGTGGCACCGGGCCGTGGTCGCTCTGCCCGCTGTCGGATGTCCGAGGCGGCTAGGATGTGTGTCGTCTTATAGTGCATGTGTTCGCGGGTAGAAGTGCTCCCAGTACTTAAGTGAACGTCTGTTGTTCAAAGACGGTATTCCCTATGGGATTGGACTCTCCGCAGTGTCCGCCCTTCCCTCCAGCGTGAGAGACAGACGACGCCATATAACCTCAGCTGATTGTGTCGTAAAAAGACGATATTACCGTCTCCAAATGGCCTTGGCAGTCTTAGAGGCAAAGCTGCCATCATTTTATCAAAACATGGTATTTCCAGCCCCTGTCTGTATGTGAAAAGCAAGAACGTAGATCGAGCCATTTCTGGACAGATACAAACAGAACCAGGTTTTGGCACCGCTTAGATAAAGCGCCTACCCGCAGTTTGAAGAAAACAAACACTTGGAGTGACGCGATGTGCACTACACCCGCTCTCCATGGCCGTGTGAAGGGCTGTGCTTGAAACGATGTCGTTTTAAGCATAAATCCGCATCACAGACTGATGTTTCACGTGGGTCACTGCAATGCATCAGCAAAGGTGACTTACAAAAGTACGCATGCATACACAACATCTGGGGAAAATGCAGCACTATCGGCATATTGTTTTAAAGTGGGTAGCGACAGTTTGTTGTCGCGGTATTGTCTGCTAGACTAAAAAACAAACTTAAACTGAGCGGCTAGTGGTGTCAGGTGTCATTGTTATGCATCCCTGGATGCCGGCTGGTTGTGCTCGGAGCTGCGGACGCTTGACTCCGGCCTTTGTGTTTGCCAGGCGCTGTCTGGCAACGCCGACTTCCGGGCGATGCTGGACCCAGTGACGGCGGCGCCTGTGCATCACACCAAGGAGTGGCACATGCAGGTCACACCCGACCTGCGCACCCACCTCGTGCGCAAGCTGTGAGTACCGCCTCGGGTCGCGCCCTGCGCCTTACCCTCGTGCGCGAGTTATGAGTGACGCCGCGGGCCGCGTCATCCGCCGGTGTTGATGTAGCTGACCCCGCAGTTGGCACTGGTCGGCGGCTGCCGGCGGTCTCTGGAGCTGGCCCATTTGGTGTGTTGAGTTGCCATGCGAGGATGCGGAAGCCTTCTGTTGCGGACAGAAGAGGCAGGATGGGGCGTGATCGTTCTTTGGGAGTGGGTGCCAGCACAGGCCACGTGTGGCCGAGATTGACCGTGGCCCTCGTGCCGATCCACAGGGTGCAGGCCATCTTCCCGACGCCCGACCCCAGCGCTATGCTGGACCGGCGCATGCACAACCTCGTGGCGTACGCCAAGAAGGTGGAGGGCGACATGTACGAGATGGCAAACTCGCGCTCCGATTACTACCATCTGCTGGCGCAGAAAATTTACAAGATCCAGAAGGAGCTGGAGGAGAAGCGCCAGCTGCGACAGGTGGCGGTGAAGGTGTCGCCGGGCGCAGCCGGCGCCCCAGCGCCTCCGCGGCCGCTGGCGCCGCCGCCGCCGCCGCCGCCGCCGTCTCAGCCGCAGCCACCGCAGCCGCAACCGCCGCAGCAGCAGCCACTGCAGGCGCCGCAGCCACCGCAGCCGCCACAGGCCGGGCCTCGTCAGCCGGCGGCGCAGCTCGGCGCCCCACCTGGCGCCGCCGCAGCAGGCCGGCTTGCCGACCTACAGCGGCGCGCTGTCGGGCGCCGCCACCGCCGCCGCCGCCGCGCCGGCCGACCAGCAGCTCCGCCTCGGCGCGCACCATCTATGTGCAGAAGCAGTTCACCAACGGGCTGCCGGGCGCGGCGCCAGCGACGGCGGTCTCGGCGTCGGCGGTCAGCCTGGCGGCCCAGCTCAGCTCCGGCTCGGCGGCCGGCGCCGGCGCTGCCGCCGCGTCGCGGCCCGCTCTACACCACGGCCGGCGTCAAGGTGGAGCAGGTCAGTCGGCTGATGACAGTTACCGCCGAGCTCGGAACAACCACCCTGCTGCCAACTGTTTGCGGTCGGGGAGGCTCATGGCAGGGGCCGGGCCAGTTGTAGTTTCCGAGAATTAACCTCATTTGGCTGAGCTGGGTTACGTGGGCGCCTTTTCCGTGTGGTGTAGCGACGCCTCTGTGACTGCTATGGTGCCTCTAACCTGGTGTCGCACTTCACAGGAGGACTCGGCGTTTGACAGCCCTGTTGCGCGACACGAACATACAGCAGCAACCGTCCCAACAACAGCAACAACAGCTACAGCAGCAAAAGCAGCAACAGCTACAAACAGCAAACAGCTGCAGCAGGCAACAACAGCAGCAACAGCTGCAACAGCAACAGCAGCAACAACAGTCGCAGCAGCAGCCGCCACCGCCGCCGCAACAGCAGCAGCAACAGCAACAACAACAGCAACTGCAGCAGCAGCAACAACAACAGCAACTGCAACAACAACAACAGCAACTGCAACAGCAACAGCAGCAACAGCAGCTTCAAAAGCAGCAGCAAGCACAGGCACAGTCGCAGCAGCAAGCACAGGCACAGCCGCAGCAGGCACCGTCTCAGCCGCAACCGCAGTCTGAAGGCAAGATGGAGGTGCAGTCGGAAGGAGGCGAGCCCGGCGGCCATACCAGCGCGCCGCCCACGCTTCACGCGCGGGTCAAGACTGAGCCGGCCGATATCAAGCCGGAGCCCATGGACGAGACCAGCTGGGACAAGGCTTCCGTCAAATGTGAGTCCGACTCCGCCAGCTGTGAGACTGGGGTGGGCGGCTAGGCCGGGCTGGTTGGACAGCAGTGCTGTGCTGTCGGATCCGTTTTCCCAGCAGGGTTCTAGTACAAGGAGCTCCGCTGATCCTGTTTGAGCGTTGAGCCGCGTTATAGATTTGCACAATGCCTCTACAGCGGGCCGGAAGCGCTGGGTTTCGGAAGGCCGTTGGAGAGCTCAGGGGTTAGATTGAACACCTGTATATCTGTGACAAGTTATGTGTAGTTCATGACTTATGAACGGTCTGAGACGCCATGCTCTCGATCGTGAGTCGGCAGAGCGAGTTCAGTCATGTCATTGTTCACTCGGTTGAAGGCTACCGACTGATACCAGTGGATCCGCGATAAGCGTGCCTGTGAGGGACCGTGTGTCCGCCGGTCTGGTGCTCGTGCCAGGGGCCCGTCTGACTATGGCGTTCGGCCGTGGAGGTCCGGCGCGACCCTGTCTGAGGGCCCGTGCCACCCGGCCGCCAGCTCGTGCGGCTGCTGACGGGTGACGCCTGCCGCTGTTTCAGCGGAGCCGGCGACGGCGAAGGAAGAGCGCAACAGCCCGTCGGCGGAGGCGGCCGCCACGCCCTCGGACGCCCGCGCCACGGCCACGCCCAAGGCCGAGAGGAAGCACAAGCCCCGTGAGTGCGCTCCTCGGGCCTCTGCTGCCCGCGCCGGGAGGGCCCTACGGGCCTGGCTCAGGCTTGTGGGACGGTGGGGCTGAAGTGCTAGAATTAGATCAAAAGTTAGTGCCAAAAATTCGCGAAAATAGGGGGGGGGGTTTGGGAATGCGAACTTTTTCCGCCCGCGATAGCTGCCGTTAATGATCTTTTTCGCTGGATGCGTGACAGAAATGAATGGGGAAAGGAAGTCCATTCAGGAGGCGTTTCTGGGGAGTATTTACCAATGAACGATGGCGAGAAGCTGCATGATGTGATATAAAACACACAAGCCACAAGAATGCTTTTCACCAACATTTTCGATGCAATGTTTTGGTACGAATGCATTAGTAAAAATGA